TATATGGATGGAACATTTTCGGTGAGCAATATTTGAAATTTAACATTATTTAACGCGAGTGATAACAAAAAGAAAAAAAGAAATACAAAAAGATGTTAAAATACGTAATATTTTTACAAAAAATGTGTAATACACTTTTGTATGCAGGTGGTTCCCAGAGTGCCAGCAACTTTCGAGGGATTTAAATGTTCGAGATTTATATCAATAAGAAATTCAAAAGGCTCATCGTTCTGAAAAAATTTACATTTGTCTCGCAGAAACTGAGTTTACAGATTACGAAAAAAATTTGGCAAATCACGAGAGTATTCTTAATGCACAGAAAGAAGATTTAAACATTGAATTGAATGATGGTCCATTAGGTAACCACGTAATAGTGACCGGAGTATGTTTTAAAATTTCAATCCTTCTCTCGCTTGTGCTTTTTCAAAATAATAATTTTTCTTTCAATTATGTAGATGATGCTCTTGTAAAAACTCTGACTGAATTTTTCCTACACGTTTTTGCGCGGTTAAACGGCGAATGCGGCAGCGTCGTTTACCGTTCTCCCGTGCATCGCTTCTTTCAACCGAAGGAGAGAGGAGAAAAGCAGCAGGACGAGGATAGACAAAGTCTATTGGCAAAATACGGCGCATGGTAACTCCTACGTAACGGCGAAGCACGCACATCGGATGCGACGGCGGATGGAGGAAGATGAAAAAGGGAGGAGAAACTTTCGGCGCACACCTATTTTTTTTTTTACACACTGGCGGGAGCAGCAACTTCCACGCTCCTCCGGCAGAAGAACGTTCAGGTTCCAGGAAAGGAACGGGAGAGAGGAGTGAGCACGCACGCATGCCGTACGGTTTGATCCTCTACCTCCTCCCTTTTCCTCCTCGAACGAACGTTCGATCTCCACGTACGGAGCTACAAAGACCCGAAGTATGTAACTTTCGCGTCGTCTCGAATAAATAAGCGTGGGAAACGACCAGGGCGCACTAATGCCACACTTTATCCCTGTAGCGACTGTCCCCGGCTGTTTATTACACAATGTGAAGTTGACGTTAATAAGTGATAAAACAAAAAATGAGACATTCGAACAGTGATTTGATCTATTTTTTTTAATCTTTAAAATATTATTTTAATTCAGATTAATGTAATTCAAGTAAATTAATCAATTAATTTACTTTAATCACATTATGAGGAAAAAATATATTTTTCAGATTTTTGCTTTCTTTTTTTTTATACAATTCAGCGTTTATCGGAATAGGGATATACAGATTTCAAAGAAAATTTTCAAAAAATTTTGTTAATAAAAAAAGTGCAAATAAAACGGTACTTATTTAAGAGCCAATTAGGATGTCTAGCTAACTCGGATTTAATCTTGGCGATGCAGCATCCTGGTGTCTGAACAATTCACGCGTTGAGCGAACGAGCGAAGATGATTATAGTCCCTGAATAGCCCAGAAGTATCACGTGCAATCTTGGCATTGCCACCATCCTCCGTCGCAGTTAGCAGAACGAAGTATGACGAGCTACGTTTTATTTTCTCGTGATTAGTTAAATCATATTCAAAAGAAATTTTATCGTTGTTAATATCGCACCGCAACTGTTATTTTCAATTAATCTTGCCATATTTCCATAAAATTTTCTACAATTTTTTCATATTATTATTATACTGTACTTAATACTTAATATATTTTCATTTGCATTTACTTTTTTATCTTAATTAATTAATTAATTTCATGATATTTTTGTCTTTTCATCTTTCAATTTTTACTTTTACTTTCAAAACTGATTTAATTGGAAAATATTACATCGCATATAGTAAGAGTATTTCTTTGCGGCAAACTATAGTGATTTGCAAAAATCATCTAAAGTTTAAGCAATTATTCTGAAAAAAATTTGTATAGACCATATTAACATTTTATCAATTATATTATTAATAATTCCTAGTAGGAAAAATAATTTCTAAACAACCTATTGTTATTCAAAAGAAATTAGAAAGGAAAAAAAGAAAACGCAGAGGTTTTTTTTTCAAGCTATAACCAGTTTTATCGAAAATTAATTTTAGGTTAAACTTCTTTTTGTCCTAATATTTCAATTATCCTTACCCTTCATTTTGCCTTATATTTTCTATCTTCATCTATACAGGGAAAACTTTCAAAATAGGTTTTTCATCCTCATCATTAATTAGTGATAGAATTACAAAAATGTTAATTCGCATAGCATGCATTTTTTGTTCAATATTATGTATACAGAGTTACTATGCCAACGATGCTTTAAGGTACGTAACAGAGAGTACGTAACAGAGAATAATCGTAACATGCGTGTTACGATAAATTCCAAAATTATAAGAAATATAACTGAACCAATAATTAAAAAATAACCGCGTATTGCGATTAGGAATCACGGGTCTTGACCACCTTCTGCTTAGATCGTATAAAAGAGCCACTGCATCTTTAATACATTACGTATGATATATATATACAAAATTCAGATTAATGTAATTCAAGTAAATTAATTAATTAATTTACTTTAATCATATTATAAGGAAAAAACAGATTCTTCAGATATTTTGCTTTCTTTTTTTTTTAATGCAATTCAGCGTTTACTGGAATAGGAATGTACAGGTTTCAAAGAAAAATTTTCAAAAAATTATTATATATTATACAAAAACAGAAAATTTGTAACTTTATGAAAAACATATGCGCGTGGAAATCTCTCAAGCACGATATATTAACTTATAAATATAAACATTTTTTGTTTAATCAAAACAAATAATATAAATTTAAATTATATCTTGCGCCTGCGTCTCAAACCGGGGATTCCAATGAATAACAAATAATAACAAAAGATTTACGCCTACTAAGTTAATTTAATCCCATCACGCCAACTGTAAGCGACAACAAAATTCTAGGACCGGAATTTTGACTGTTAAAAGATTCGATTATATCTTGGAAGAAAAATAAATTAACAATTTTTAAAAACATTTAAAAAGTTTACATGTCGCTATCAAAAATTGACAAGTATGGATATCAATATTACATAATTTTTATTATACTTTATCAGATTAATAAAATTAATGATGCTTAAATGTAGCATCGTCTATTGAGGGTAGATGTGATGCTATGAAATATATTCAAATTGTTTTTTCAATTTGTTTAATGTATTTCGTGATTTGCATAATTATCATATATGTATACAATACGTTATATATATGTGTAAACATATATATATATATACATATATATATATCATACGTATATGTACCTATTGCATATCTATTGCAACACCTACAACTGAAACGGACAAAGGAATGGAGGCGATGCACAAAAGACGAAAAAAGTATAAGCGTCGTCAATTTAAGAAAAAAACTTGACCTCAAATAACATCGTATAAATAAATATATAGCTACAAAAAACATAATTCTCTTTTTTTTTCAAACAAAGAGAAAAAAATCAGATAATACCAGCAGATAAAAATGACAGAATGATTAGACTGATAATAGCTTTAATTCTCGTGGTTTTTCATCTTGTCAGTCAGTGAAACATCGTTCAACTCAATCGTGAATTCTGGATTTTTTTTCGGCGTTATTAAACTAAATTAATCTTTTTATAATTTAAATTAAATAAATCTAAATGCATATTCCTATACATATACCATATACCTATACATATATATATTTACTTTGTTACGACTTCGTTATGTATGTACATACATATAGAAAAATGCACTAGTATTATTCTTCAATTGTCACAAATCAAAATAAGGAACTGTTACAGAAATCGATTAAATCGATTAATCTGAAGTGAGATTTAAATGACTCTCCGTCTCCCCTCTCTGTCTCACCCTCACACACAATTTTCGCAAAACAAGGAATGCAAAAGAGTATGGTCTATGAAAGAGCAAAAACATATAACGCCAATTAAAATAAAGAGAAAAACGATGAGAAAAACTTAAGCAAATGTATGTTAAAAGAATATATATTAACTAAGATAATTTAAATTTGTAACTAATGTAATTGAAATTTGTATCAATTAACTTTGGAATCATTAAATTTGCTTTCTCTCTGTAAGAGAATAATTCCGGTAAGATCAATTTCTTTTATCGTACAGTTACTGTATGATTACTTAATTGAAAAAGTATGTATCTGACTTATGTTACGAATAATTGCAAATAACTGCAAAACTTAATGATTCGCTTTTCATCAAAGGAAGTTTATTTACGAAAAAATAGTTTGATTACCTATATAAAATCTATATTTAAAAAGATAATAGAATTAATTGCAATTTTCATAACTAGATTTTTACTTAAATCTAATAATATTCTCATTAATGCGCACTTGGTATACCATTTTTTGCAATAGTAAGATACATTAATTTTTTAACAGATAAACTTTCTTTGATGAAAAATTTTAGAAAATCAAAGAATGAGCAAAGAAAAATTATGTTATCATACTTATTAAATAAAATAAACTTAACGAATAGTACTTAATGTTGCTAAAAATATAAAATAGTCGTTCTATTCTGCGAAAACAGAAGATATATAATTTGTGCCCTGCGGCTCATGAAACGAAACGTAATATTGCTTAATCCCTGGCGCGTTTAAAAATGCTTTTAGCGATTTTTACGAGCATTAGGGTGTTATTCGCCGATGACACAGTATAGTATATCCCATATTACATAACTGTATTTTTCCAGTATATCATAATATAAATGTCTTCCATTAACAGAAAATACATAACGCGGCAAACATTTAAAAAAAGGTAAAAAAAAATATTGTATATCTTGACTTTTATAATTATAATAATTGCTTGTAGATCGTGAAATTTAAATCACACCCGATAGATATACTATTACGTCAAATATGCAGATTATGCAAATTATGCAGATTAAGAAGCGCGGAACAGACCAAGGACATGCCAGTGCAAAAAACACATAGCTCCTTAGCACGTAGTCGATGTTGCAGCAATCTTGAATCTTTCTATGCCAAGTCCGACAAAAATATACGCGAAGGTCGAATTTTTCGAATATATTTCGTCGCGAAAATTACATCCTCGAATAAACTAAATCATGCTTTTAATCGTGTTTCAGCCGCTCTAAATCCTAACTTTATTTCTAACGGTCGCAACACATTGATTGTTCTCTACTTATTAATTTTTATTAGTATTTCGTATATACGATTTGCAAACAAAATGTTTTTTGCATGTGCATCGAACAATGGCATTTGATTTATTTATAACCCGAGGCGGAAGGAAATACATTACACTACACGTATAACTTTCAAGTTAAAATGTTTGAGAATTGAGGAGAAAGAACTGTTTAAAGGAGACTATGAATTAATGCAAAATAAAAGATGTCTTAATTTCGTTTAATACGACATTTAATTCCACGGGATTGGACTTAAAATTAAAATTAGATGAAATTTGGGCTTGGGATGAATTATAAATAGAGAAGAGTAAGTTCTAAGTTAAAATAGACTTGAAATCGGACGTGAAAATCTCTCGCGGCTTGCGACCAGCCTATTCGCAGAGGCCTTGAGAGAAGTTCGCGACTTTAAGTTTGTGCAGTGTCATATTAATTTTACGAATAATTCCAGTAATGTGCAACTTCCAAGAGAACACATTAGTTAATAGTGACTTCAAGAATTTTCGTACAGACGTTTCACGATATTTCCGCTCTTACTGAACGAAGCTTATCAGTGTGTGATAAATAATGGAATGAGAGATACTGAGTATTATCGCCTCAATCTCAATTCTATCAATAGATTCTATTATATAAAATCAGCAACTAATATTGATATTAACTAACGACGTCAATGACGATATCGCAACATGCATTAACGATAATAATTCGAATATTATCGGCATAAAAATTGTATAAATTATATTTAAAGGTAGGCAATACTTTTTGTAGATAATATTCTACAGACAAATCAGATAAATGGTGTAAGAATATAGCAAGGGGCTTGAAATAAGTCCCTCCCAGGTAAATCCTGTGAAACATGACTCAAAGACACATTGTCATTCCTGTCATTAACACAGTCCTTCATTGAAGGAAAGAAATAAAGAACCTGCCAAAAGGTCGTCGTTTCGTGCAATGACACGTGCACTCTATGTTGCACGTGTCATTAACTACAGAAAACAATTGAAAGATGAATGAATTTTTATCGAGAGTATCGTTTTACATCCAAACATCCAAACGCGAAGAACGCACGGCGTAACATTTGTCACGTCGTGCGATTTAATTTGATTTGTTTAATAAAAAAAAAGTATGTACTCTCAAAGTACATATTGCAATAACATATACAGCAAAAACATATTACAGTTTTTTTTTTCAGAATGCACAGACGTTTAATCGTTATGTCGACATACTTCTGTTAAAACACACGCGTTCCAAGAAAGAAAATAGCGATAAAAAGAAAACACCTAATTTTAAAGATTGAAATTTATCGTTTATCGTCAAGTTCGAATTTGTCGTGGCAAAGACGATCCCAATATAATACGTAATGCAAATGTAACAATCGGCGTAAGGGGTTACTTTCGCGCACTTTCAATACGACAAATTGAACTCGTTGAGATTACATTAATTTCAATCTTCGACCTAAAATTGTTATATCGATTACTAACTGCGCGTTGATGATCGCGGAGCATCGCGGAAGCAACGAGCGAGAAAACTCCAGACGCGACATTCGTTTCTTTTTTTTTTCCTAAATTTTCGAGGGTCGAGCGAGCCGAGAGTTAAACCGAGGCATTTGAGACCCGTCGAACCCGTCGATTTAATTAATCTAGCGATCGTCTTCGACGCGCGACGATCAAGTACGATCGGAAATGCTGTATGTGTGCTCGAAACGATCGCTTTCTTTTACTTTTTTTTTTTTTTTCTTAAAGGAAGCGCTCTTCGAAGGGACGTAATGCCATTTGCTTGAGAAACGGTGCCCCTCGAGAACGAGCGGTTGCTTCCCCCTCGAGAAAAAAGGGGAATTCCCGTCTCGGGCGGAGAAACGAGCTAAACGCTATTCGCCGACGCGACGACGTTGTAGATGCCGATGTCGAGGGCGCTCGGGCGACTCCGTGCGCCGAGCGACAGCAACAGACTTACCGCCTGCGGCAGGAACATGCGCGCGAAGACGAAGTTATCCTTGGGCCGCTGCGAGGAGTCCCCGTCGCCGCCTTGGTTACGATGACGATGACGACAACGTTGACGGCAGCGTTCGTCCAGAGCACCACTTAGTCACGGAAAAAGCCATCACCGCACGTGCCACAGGCCAAGATTTAACGTACTGAGCTGCGGCAGCTTCATGATCCGCTCGAGGCCGCTGGTGGTGATTTTCGTGCAGCCGTACAGGTCGATGCACTTGAGGTTCTTCATGCTCTCGGCGACGGTGTGCAAACCCCGGTCGGTGAGCCGGCTGCACTGGCCGATGTTGAGGGTCTCGAGGTCGTGCAGGGTCTTGGCGATCTTGCAGATACCCTCGTCGCTGATCTGGCAGGCGGACAGCGACAGGGATTTGAGGTTGAACAGACCTTGCGAGATGTGCACGAGCGCCTGATCGCCGATCTTGTCGCAGAACGACACGTCGAGCGACGTGATGCGGCTGCCGCCCTCGGCCAGGTACGCCATGCCGATGTCGGAGATGTTGTCGCACGAGCGCAGGTTCAGCTCGCGCAGACTCGACATCCTGGCCAGGTGTTTGACGCCGGAGTCGGTGATGCAAACGCAGAACGACAGGTTGATGGACTTGAGGGTGGTGAGGCCGAGCGACACGTGCCTGAGCGCCTCGTCGCTCAGACGCTGGCAGTCCTGCAGACTCAGATGCTCCAGGGCAAGATTACCGTCCGCGGTTTCGCGATTCAGACCGGCCAGGTGAGCGATGCCCAAGTCGGACACGTGCCAGCAACTTCGCAGGTCTAGCCGCTTGAGTTTCTTGAGACCCCATGCGATCAGCAGCAAACCGGTGTTGGTGATATTGCAGCAACCACCCAGCTCCAGATGCTCGAGATTCTTCAAGTACTGCGCTATCCTGCTGAGGGAGGCGTCTGTCACTTGCTTGCAGAGCGATAGGTTGAGCTCGGTGAGGGACGGGTACTCCTGGCAAAAGGCGTTCGTGATACCGATGTCGGTGAGGTGGTAGCAGCCGGACAAGCTCAGCGACTCGAGATTTGGCACGCCCTTCAGTACATCGCTGAGGCCGCGTCGCAAGGACAGCACCTGTACCTTCTTCACGCCACGTCGTACCAGGCTGGCGAATAGCGCCGGCGCCTGTTTCCTGAGGTGCAGCCGTGCCTCCACCCCTCGCCAAACCGAGCGGTAATAAGCGGCGTCGCGCCACGCGGTGCACACTTGCGCGGCGCGTCCCTTGTCGCGCACGTCCAGGTAGCTGAAGATGAGGGCCAGAATTTCAGGATACAGGGAGGACACGTGGGTGCTCGCGGCGGGCTGGCCGTGCGTGACCGCGGTGCCGCGCTGATGCACCTGATGCGGGTGCAGCTGGTGCCGCGACGAGATGCCGCCCTGGTTGATGGTGTAGACCGGCAAACCGGCGGCGGCGGCGGCAGTCGGGCCGCCTCCCGCGGTGCCGCCGCCGCCGCCACAGGCGCCATTGCCGTCGGTGCCGTAGTGCGGTGCCGTGCCGCCGGAGTTGTGCTGAAGAATCGCCTGGTTCTGCGACGTCGGTATCGTCAGGTGCGGCTGGTGCAGGTGGTAGTAGTGGCCCGGGCGATGGAGTAACGTCGTGCCGCCGCGACCGGCGCTTGGCGTCAACGGCGACGGAAGTTCTGTCATCAGCAGCTGACTCTCCTCCATATCGTCGTCGCTATCGTCGTCGTCGTCGTCGTCGTCGTGCTCGTCGTCCTGCGACCTCGACCCCGTCGCCGTCGCCGCCGCCGATGCTTCCGTCGCAGCTGCCGCGCGGCGAAGCCTCACGCGCAGCGACTCCGCCGCGGCAACCGACGAGCGAGCGACCGTCGAGCGCTCGTCGTGTCCTCGTCCGTCGCGGTGATTGTCTCCCTCTATCTTGAAATCTTTCTTCTTCCTCCTTCTCTTCTTCCTCCGCTTCTCCGCGTCGCGCGTTCTGTCTTCCCGGTTAATCCGATCCCCGCCGTTCGCGGTCGCAGCGCGACTTCGGTAGTCGCATAATAAGAGTTTTTCCGCGCGGGCGAGCGCGCGCGCGCACGTATCCGATATGATATATGTGCACTCACAAACGCGCGCGCGAAAATCCCGATATCGATCGCGGCTATCGATCGCCGCGCTACGCAGCGGCCGCCGCGATATCACCGCGTCGACGCGACGGGCACGGATCGGCGACGCAGCGCGCGCGATCCACGACGCGGTGGTCGTCGCGCCGCGGGCGGGAGGGGGACGGCCGAACGGCACAGCGGGATTTATCTCGCGATCGAACTCGCGAAGCGCGCCTAGCTCGCTCCGAAATCGGCGCGATATATATCCGACGAGAGAGAGGAGTAACAGACGCGCGGGGAGCGATCAACGACTCACGCGACTTTGCGCTTAAATATTACACGGCTCCGCGACGGCTCGTCCGAGAGAGTTACTTTTCACGAAAGCACCATTCTCTTGCGCGCGGCACATATAGAAACACCATATCGCGTACCGTCTGGACTCCCTTGGTTCCTCCTTCTTACCGTCGTCGCACTCCGTCACTCACTCTTTCTTTCTCTCTCTCTCTCTCTCTCTCCCTCGTATTCGCGCGCGGCGAGTCCCTCTCGCTCTCTTTATCTCCCGCTCTCTATCTGTCTCGCTTCCTCGCTCCTCCTCTCCTTCTTACACATCAGCCTGCCCCACCTCGCCCCCCCTTCGCACTACTCGCGCTCTCGATCTCCGTCGCGCACACCACAGTCACTTCCTCTACTCTCTCACTCTGTTCCGTGGCCGCGACGACTGGCCGACTCTTTTTTGCACGCGAGACACAACTACGGCGAGTATATACGAGTAAATACGGGGTCGCTTACGAGCGCGAGTCGCGGCCCCGCGCGCGCTTCTTCTTCCGGCGGACGATAGGGCACCACACGGACGTCGGGCGCACGTACGAATTGCGTGCGTATGATGTACGCGTGCCGAAAGGGGCGACAGCGTTGAGCGACAGCGCGCCGTGCCTCGTTCACGTGTCGACGTCGCGACGTATCGTCGCCGTCCTCGCCGTCTTTCTCGGCGACGTCGTTACTGTCGTCTTCGTCTTCGTCGTCGTCGTCGTCGTCGTTGTCGGCGCCGTCGTCGTCGTCGCCGCTGCTGCCGTTGAACGCCCGTCGTCGACGTCGACCGTGTGCCGTGTCGGGGTCACTTAACGTGGACCGCCCGCAGAGCGGAACATCGCCTACTGTAAACCGGTGCGCTACCAGCCGCGGACTGTTGTTCCGCCTACCCGAACGCAGATGTCGTGTCGTCGCCCCGTGAAGCACAGGCGGAGCGAGCTTCGCTCGCCGCGGCCGCCGATTGGCTCGCGCGGCACGAAACCGTGCCACGTGACTGCACCGGCGAATATCGATTCGGGTTGCGCTGCGGCGGCATTTTTAAGTTTTCGTTGCGTGGTGGGAGGGCGGGAGGGACCGGGGGAGAGGGTGAGACACACGGCGCGCACACCGTACACCCCGGACCACATCGCGCGTGATACTATACCTCGCTTGCCGAAATCCCGGAATGCCGCTCTCTGCTGATTCGCGCTCGATGTGCCAAATCCTCGTCACGATCACTCGTGTCACCTTTCTCTCTCTCTCTCTCTCTCTCTCTCTCTCTCTCTCTCTCTCTCTCTCGCTCGATTTTTTCTTTTTTCCATTTCTTCCGAGACAGAACGCAACATCATAACTCACGCGAGCGATCGTTTTTTTGGTCTTGGGTGATTTTTCGATAATTTTTATCCGTTGTTTATATTTTGCGCTCGATGAATTTTCGGCCTACCAGTATATGGACTCTGATTCCCTCCCGGTGTGCTTCACAGTCTACTGCGTTTGGCGATTACACGCACTTTTTTTTACACCTTGCGAGGAAGCTTTCAAGAAGGGCAAATAAATATCTCAAATGGCTAGCTAAGACATCGGTAACTTTAGAATGCATTATTCGTAAAAACGACCCTAGATATATTAAGGGACTTTCACAATGGCATTCTGGGGCAGGTTACGGATCAAACGGAAGTTCGATGAACACACAGCATGGTAACATAATGCAATGATTAAAATATTGGTTCGTATTCATTCTGGAAACAAAGTCGCCAAAGACGTACGTTATTTTGACGTTAAAATAGTGACAATCAACTTGTTTCGTGACCTGTTCTTTTCATTTCCGTTGAACATCTTGTACGGTTCATCTTTCCCCTTTTTCTCTTCATGTTGGAGGAAAAGAGAAAACAAGATGAATGGTGTAAATAGTTTAGTTAAAAAAAGTAGGCCTTATAATCTCCCTTTTATCGATAAATATACCTTCAAGGCGCATTCAAGTACACAGTTTACGTTACGTAGAGATCATAAAATCTTAGAAATAAGTGAACATATTTATTGATAAAAGAGTATTATTGAGATATGAATACGGGCCATACAATCTAAATAATTGCATACATACGATTTTTTATTCTATTTGTTAGGGGTCGTCTATGAAATATTAATATCCTAATTTGTCCTAATTTAATCCTAATTTAAATAACTAATTTTGATACAAATTTTAGATGAGATATTTGAGCAGTAGTACCGACTTACGAAATAGTTTGTGCAGCACTAATTATTAATGGAATTGCAGGATTGTGTGCTGCAAATTCAAAATATCATAATGCGTTTCGCATTTCGATCAATCGGAGGTATCTACACAACGTGAAAAAATTGCATGCATTATGCAATCGTAAAGAAGGGCGTGTTAAAAGGCCGATTTTTAACACTTTGCTTGCGGAAAGTAAAATTAACATCGTTTCTTACATAATAGTTTTTGAGACAAAGATTCCAATGGAGCTAGTTAAAATTACGTCACATGTCGAGAACACAAAAATCGAAAATTGAGTTTAAATTCGAAAAATTTAACATGAACATGTTCGAGAACCACTCGACCAGTCGATTTTCCACCGACGGATCGCCATGCGTCTTCCGAGTGAGCCACGCATTTTTCCGACTTTCAACTCAATTTTTGATATGTTCCCATCATGTGACGTAATTTTAACTAGCACCATTGGATTTTTCGTCTTAAAAATGATAAAAAACAATTTTACTTCTTGCGAACGAAGTGAAAATCGACCTTTAACATCCTTCTTTCTCAATGTGCAGCTACTTATATTATTATTGATCTCTGTTAAATGACTCATATTTTGTTTAAATTTTTTTGTAGTAAAATGTTTATATTTTTGCAGTAAAACGAAGTGTATTACATCAGTTCTTTGCCATTCGATTTTTGCGAAAAAAAAACTTGTAGCCTTGTTGAGAGAGGCAGAGTGTCGATTTCAATTTATATGTTTGATCGGAACCTTCGAAAAAGCACGCGAGATTCGTGTGAATCGAAAGATTTTATGGATGCGCGAGTGAGTGAGATGTTTTAATATTTAATTTATTCCAGATGCCCATTCGATCGATGAGCACCAACAGCGGTTTGCACATATTCATTATGCAGAACAATTGCAAATACAACGGGGCCGTTTCGCACGACTATTCTCGCGCGCGGATGAATCGGATAATTTCTTATTAATCTAACAGTAAAGAGGGAAACTGCATGTTTCGTTAATAAAGCATGCAGATGTGCATTTTCGTCGAAATTTATATCGTCTAAAGTTTAAAAAGCTCCATAATTTTTCTTACGGACGTGACATTAACAGTGTCCAGTGTCAATTAGTAAGTGTCAGTAAAATAATAACGATATAATATCAGCGATAATAATTTTACGAAATTGTAAAAATGGTTGAGGGATACGAAAGTTAAAATGATGTATAAAAAGCGAGACGGCAGTAAGAATGCCATTTATAAAATCTCATAAATAGGTAATAGTGTATAAATCTTTCTATAGTTGTATATTATTTTTTGGAGGTAAAATAAAAAGTAGCACTGACATTCTACAGCGCTATCTAAAATTTGTATTTTTTAAAAATTGAAATACTTCGACACTCATAATAGTCCTACTTTATAGCTATTTTTTCGTAGCGTGCAAGACGCGCTCAATATATATATTTATTGTAAGTATATAATAAAACGGAATATATAATTTAGTAAAAAAGAAAATGACGGCCAAATAATATACAAGAATGCAATTAATTTAATGTATTCGCTCATAAAGAGAATAAAAATGCGTACGTTTCGACTGTACATAAAGCAACAGTGTATATATTGACGACAATAAATTAAATTACTACTAAACAAATTATAAGGTTAAACAAAAGATTATATCCGAGATCAAACATGTAATAAATTAAAATTAATGGTATTAAAAGTAAAAATAAATATAATTAAGTAATTATCTTTTGTATGTATCTATTGTGAAGTCAATTATTGTTTGTACAAATTCCAAAATTATCCAAATAATCTGAATTGCTTTTGTAAAGATTCTAAAGTTACCTCAAAAAACAAATCAAATTAAATGGATAAAAATTAATTAAATGGATAAAATAAATTTCGTCAATTAACATAAACTATTGTAAAAAAAATATATTGAAAACTATATTTTTTTTTGTTTCAGGGAGGAAGTCATATTTATTTCTTCTATATATGATTAAATTGAAAGACGGTTATCATAGATGTGACAATTTGTCATAGCTGCTGCTTATTTCATTTTTTATTTAATGCGTAATTCATTTTCAGTTATATGATTATTTATTAATTAATAATGAAACAAATTAGAATTTTCGATATATTTTACAAGTCTTTACAAGTCAGTTCTCTATCTATTTGTACGTGATGTTTCATAGAAATATGTTTTTATTTCAATATATTTCGCAAAAAATTTTATTGCACATTTTCTCGCGTCTGATGTCACAGTCTGAGATAGTAGTGGGAGAGTGAACAGGACCCTTAGAAGAATTATATATAGATTATAGGTATAATACATATATAGGCATTTCGCATTTTGGATAGCACGTACTGAGAGGGATGTTCTCGAAAAACGAGGAATAAGATTAATATAAGAAATGCACACAAACAGCGGCTGGCCAAGAATGTCGCACGAGGCAATCACGATGTATAGCGATGGAGTGAAATTACGATCAACTATACTTTTCCAAGCAATATATCACGATATTACATGCATTATAGCTCTCTTGAAAATGTCTGCATGGCTAGCAATAAAAGAGCATTATCGCTTATTTTGTATTTTATTGAACGTATTTTATGTTTTCTTTGCATGGATATAATTTATTGCTATCTATATACATGTAGCGCCTCGATCGTCGGATCGTGAATTTCGAAATTTTTCGCAAATAACTGCAATAATAGCAGGTCACAAATGTGAATCAATATCACGCACGAATAAGAGATTACGCGTTTTAAATAACGTCCTCGGAATTTTCTGACGGTCGAAAAATTCGACCACCGAATTTATTAGATCGATAGATTTAATATTTTACAAGTTCGAACATATACAATATGCAGTGTTCAATTCGAACTGGAAACTTTCAAGCAAGATAATGCATTGGGGCTCGAAATTTTTTTCGAGCATTGCCTAAATCGATCAAACAATATAGCTTTAGGTTTATTCGTTCGAATCACGTGAATTTAAAAAAATGTCGCTCACCAGACAGGAGTGTGAAGGCAATACTTGTTTCGACATACGCATACATGTAGACTCCTATTTATTTATAATCATACGTATGTATAATAATAATACAACGTCGTAACTGTATAACAGTAAACAAGATTGAATATGCTCGATTGAAATACTTCGTGAATATGCCACTAAAACTGGCAAGTTGAGAATATGTACACATTGTAGGATGTCGCTTTATTGCCTCTAAGGGAGATATGTAATCGATACAAAAAAAAAAGAAGAGAGAAAAGAAAAAATAAGAGCAAAATAATAGCGATATTAATTACAATTACACGGGGGAGCAGGGAGTAAGGTACACGCAGCAGTATTACAGTGGCAGCTGGCGACATTATCTTAACTATTATCACAGATTAATACAGACAGCTTCTGTCATAGCTGGACATGACCGATCGTTATATTTTATCATCTTGCTATCTACCCTTCTGCAATAAATATTTAATCGTGTGTATGTATATATATATATAAATGTGTGTGTGTGTGTGTGTGTGTGCGTGTGTTTCGTCGCAAATGCATGGACAATTTAAAATACTTGCGTATTTATATATTTGAGTATATAAAATTCGGACGTTTACAAGCTTTTCATCTTTTCCTCTCTCGTTACAGAGCTATTAAGAAATATTAAGTCGTAAACACAGAATTAAAAAAAAAATGTGATAATACTGTTGAATATTTTATTAATGCATAACGATGCACGCGATATAAATACTTCGTATTCCAATGGCTTGGAAGCAATAACATATAAATTGATATTTTTGGCTAGCAAATTTATCGTTCTTAAAAAATTATAAAGAGAGTAAATCGTCTTCAGTTTTATTAGATACCATTTAAAACTTTCTTAAAATGTTTGCTTTTAAATATTGTTTAATGTATAAATTAGATGCTCGTAGACTTCGACAATTTTAAAACTTTAATAATAAATTGTAATTATTTATAAAATTTTATACATATTGTAAATGTGGCTATTGTAAATAAATCATGTTGATTAGTCTTCAAATTTTTGTGCAGTAGTATGACTTTCGAGAACGACAGGAAGCATATTGGATTTCATATGACCAAGCAATTTTCAGTTTTCGTATAGCGGTCTTTTTTTTTTAATTAGCATTTGCAATTTTTTTTACATGCCATTGCACATCACAATTCATTCCACATATCCGATTGAATCTTTTAGCTCGCACTGAAAGCGTCATCAAACTGCACAGGAACCTTAATTTTACTAAAAACGTCCTAAGAATTATTTGGAACAGCTAACAATATTTGTCGCCCGTTTGTTCAAAAAAACTTTAATCCTACTCGCTTAAACGCGACTTATTTAGCGTATGGTAACTCATTGTTGAATGCAGCAAAATTTTACAATGATCAAAAATGACCCTACAAAAAATTAGCGCGGAAGATGCTCGTAATAACCATTCGTCGATTACAATGTTCCATTTATAACGATTGCATGATATGAAACGCGCTCGTGTATAAAATGTGTGTATGAAAAACGATGATTTTTAACATACGCGTATACGTATGAGTGAGAGTTACCCTTTCGTAAGTATTACAAATGAATAGGCCTTTGTTCTTCGACGCGCAGCACGCGAAAGTATTTGACGTGTTAAAAAAGGATGCCGCATAGACGATCGTTTTCACTAAATAAGCCCTACACGCGCTCCGCGTTTCGCTTCACATTTCGTTTCTATTACATGTTAAATACTAACGTCAAAAAAGTATACTTTAGTTAGGATACAATCTTAGGTATCGTAATTGGAATACAAAACTCAGTGTTAGAAAATATCAGGGTTTCCAGCGTCTCTCTCATGTCCGCTCGTAATACTAACACATGCTCTCTGTTTTATTCTGTCCTAATTATTGTATCAAAGAATATTCCTCGTGTATACGGAGTAGCGTGCTTATACAACGCTCGCTAACAGCATTTTTTCCTGTGCTGTTTTGTGCTTTTCCTCAAGTTGACCGTCTCGTTGGTCTGTATAGCCTGCCGCTCCTTGCGCTCTTTTTTGGTCCGCAACACTTGCCGCGTTATCGCCATGAACATCTGCAAGTGACGCATTGTTGTTAATTCGCAGTGAGGTATAAAATATATACTAAAAGAAAATTTAACTGAATTCAGAGTATTTTTGAAGTTTAGTAAATTTAATGAGTTTTACCGTCAGTATAATAAAGAAGAAATTGTAAAATAAATAACTTGTCTCTGATTTTATTTTATAGCCTCATAAATTAATAAAAGAAGAAACTTATAAATTAATAAAAATATTAATTTAATAAAAAAAGAGGAGCATAATGCATACCTCTTCGACATTGATGTTGTCCTTGGCGGAAGTTTCAAACAGCTGGATCCCCATTTGATTGGCGAATCTTTGCGCATCTTCCGTTAACACGACCTTCTGATTAGGTGCGTCATTTTTATTTCCTACCAGTACCCTGTTAACCACATCACAATTCTGTTCGATTTCGTGCAACCACCGTTTAACGTTCGCGAACGTATCACCGCTGGTCACATCGTACACAACTATAACGCCATGCGTTCCCCTATAGTAAGTTGAAGTTATTGTCCGGAAACGTTCTTGGCCAGCGGTATCCCAGATTTGCAGCTTTACTCGCTCACCGTCTACCTCCACAGTTTGTATCTTAAAGTCCACCCCTATCGTAGTTATGTAACTGCCGTTGAAGGTATTGTCAGCAAATCTCAGAAGCAGCGAGCTTTTACCTACGCCTTGAAGACAAAAAAGAGAATACTTTTTATACATCAAGATGTAATATAAATTGTTTGAAAAATATAAAAAAGAATACAAATATTTTCATAAATTTATCATGCTACAAACATATGTTTTCATGTTATTTTAATACAAGTTGCTGCGTATCGCATAGTTCATTACTTTTCTATACTAAATTAAACAGAATAAAAAATAATTTAACTCAAAAATAGATACAATTGAACGAGAGAGAGAGAGAGAGAGAGAGAGAAAATATATAGTGTATATAAATGTATAATCTTCCAATTATCCCGACATTAACAAGAGTGAATCATGAGAAAGAAGTGATGACAAATATCTTTGTCTCTTTATCATTTTTGGTTTTCCTATTATCGTGACACAACGTATTATCTACTACCGCTGTTCTAAATCTGTCGTGCAGGAAGAACAATTTTCACGTCATGAAATCTAACAATAAGCCACCGCCGGCCGTTGCGAGGGACAGCCGACGTGTATCCATTGTCAGAGGCTCATCATTTAATAAACCGCCGCTAAAACTGCGTAATGACAGGCGGATCAGCTTGACGGCCGCGGCAACGCTCGGCGCAACAACCCGTCCTTTTTTTTCTCCCTCCCCCTTCCACTCCCCTTCCCACCCCCCCTCCTGTAATCTTTTTATATCTCTCATATCCGGAATGAAATTTACGGGGAGAAAGAGAAGGGGGAAAGAGAAGGAGAGAGAGACAAAGAGGAGGAAAGAAAAATAGCGACAGAAACAAAGGAGGTTATACGTGAAGCGCACGGGAGTGCGCGGCTAATAATAAAGAATCGGAGAATTGCGCGTCGTCAGCCGCCGCGCGGACGATGGTATTGTGCACGCGCGTATATACACATATATATTTACCGCTGTCCCCTATGATGAGCAGCTTGAACAGATGATCGTACTCCCGGGCCATCTTAACGTCATACGACGCGCGTACACGTCGCCTCCCTCCGTCGTCGTAGCCGCGTCGTCGCAGCCTCCGCGGGACGTGTCGTCGTCGCGATGCGCGGCCGCCACCCGACGAGAGAGCTGCCGCCGCGCGGCGCGCGCCTGCGAGGAGAGATTATTTTTTACGCGATCTCGCGCGCGGCGTCTCCCGTCCCCTCGGCCCTCACGCTCACGGGGCCCCGTGCCCGCGAGCAGCGCGTACGTATAATATTCACACCGCGGCGACGACGACGACGACGACGTCGTGTAGCTTAGGACCCGAACGTGCGCTACCCCCGCACGATCTCGAGCGGTAGCAGCAGCAGCGGCGGCGGCAGCGGTAACCGTGACTCGTCTGGTTCGGAGGACGACTGCAGTGTCAAATGATCGCCATGTTTATATGCCGCGGTATCACCACTCATTATCATTACGGCGGGAGAAAAAAAAGCTGCGATCTCCTACGTTCAGCTGCGCGACGCCCATCCCATCCCACATCAGAATGTCACCAGCTCGCCATCGCCGCCATGTTTTCCTTCTCCTCCCCGTCGAACCTGCGGGCAACGTTCTCAACGTACAGCACATAATGTCCGATCCTCACGCACAAGATACAGGTTGATCAAGTCTTTGTCAGAGGCTCGAAAACTGCCGTCGATACGCGGAGAACACGTTGAGTGAAGAGGTGGCACGGAATCCTAGCCAGCGCGCGTATCGACAGAGGCTTGTTGGTAAGATGGAAAACTGCTGAGCGAAGAGGCACGAAATCCTGGCCAGCGGGCCTCGTCAGAGGCTCGAAAACTGCCGTCGATACGCGAAGAACATGTTGAGCGAAGAGGTGACACGGAATCCTACTAATCCTAGCCAACGCGCCTCGTCAGAGGCTCGAAAACTGCCGTCGATACGCGGAGAACATGTTGAGCGAAGAGGTGACACGGAATCCTACTAATCCTAGCCAACGCGCCTCGTCAGAGGCTCAAAAACTGCCGTCGATACGCGGAGAACATGTTGAGCGAAGAGGTGACACGGAATCCTACTAATCCTAGCCAACGCGCCTCGATATAGAGGCTCGAAAATTCCCGCCGATACGCGGAGAACACGTTGAGCAAAGAGGTGGCACGGAATCCTAGCCAGCGCGCGTATCGACAGAGGCTTGTTGGTAAGGTGAAAAACTGTTGAGCGAAGAGGCACGGAATCCTGGACAGCGGGCCTCGTCAGAAGCTCGAAAACTCCCGCCGATACGCGGAGAACATGTTGAGCGAAGAAGTGGCACGGAATCCTAGCCAGCGCGCGTATCGACAGAGGCTTGTCGGTAAGACGGAAAACTGCTGAGCGAAGAGGCACGGAATCCTGGACAGCGGGCCTCGTCAGAGGCTCGAAAACTCCCGCCGATACGCGGAGAACACGTTGAGCGAAGAGGTCGCACGGAATCTTACTAATCCTAGCCAGCGCGCCTCGATATAGGGGCTGAAAAACTCTCGCCGATACGCGAAAAACATGTTGAGCAAAGAGGTGGCACGAAATCCTACTAATCCTAGCCAGCGCGCCTCGATATAGGGGCTGAAAAATTCCCGCCGATACGCGGAGAACACGTTGAGCGAAGAGGTCGCAGGCAGTATAAAGCATAGCCAAGACTACTCCCACTCTCATCACTCAGCGCGTAGGCCCCGCCTCTTGGCGCAAAAGCAGCATATATGCGTGGGTGGGGGTAGGACCCGCGCGGCTCCCCTTCTATGGCGCGATGGCGGCCTCCGTCCCGAATACCTCTGCAACCTACTCAGTTAACGTGCGCTCCTGGCACTTTATTTCATTTAAACGAAGTTTCTGACGCTGCGAAAACCGGCTTTTGCTTAACCTCTCATCTCTATATGTACTTTTAACAATATTTATGATCCTTTGTGCATCTCCACAGATGCGTAATTAAATTTAAATTATTATTTAATTATAATGTAACATTAAAATTACTTCAAATTTAATTTATTATAATTATTTTATATTTAATTTATTATAATATCTATTGATTATATATAATTACGTATAAGGCGCGGCAACTTAATTTCTTACGATAAAACATAAATTATATAAACACTGAAAATCGTTTGTTAATTATTATGTAACATAATAATATATGTTCTAGAATATTTTATTAATAAAGATCTTCTCGAAAAATCACGCCTCCCGTCGGCGACTGTCTCCCGTCGACATTTGGAGCTTCCTCTTTTTCGTTGATTATTACCATGCAATAATATTCTAAATTATTTTATCGTATAATTCTTCTTAAGATAACTGACTCTTGAGAAGAATTAAACGATAATTTTCAAATAACAAATATGATTGGCACGTGCAGGCCTTGGCACTTGTTGTCGGCGCGTCGGTTGTGTATATAGTAAACAAAGCCGTGCGAAGGTCGCCGCCGCTATCACTCGCGCGACGACGCTCGAACGAGCAGGCAGTATCATCGTATTGCTTTTCC